TAACTCACGTTCACATCACCCTTGTTTAGACAGTCGTTCTCCTCTCTTGATGTCATTATTCTGGTAAGTCCACATTAAAGGAATAGAAACACTGTACTCAAGTTCCGCCCTGATTAAAGCTCATCATTAGTACATATCATTGTCCGTACTGCGTTTGAACTCCGGACATCTGACAGGCAGTATGTGCATGTTACAGTTACTCCACCAGTGCATCCTGGAAGCATCAGGATTTTCACGTCTTCATGTAGTACGGAAACCACGACTAGTCTGTTCGGAGCCGAACGAACAGGTTATTGAGAGCAATCAGTCAACCATATGGTCACATAGTCGCGAGCAACAGCGTTAGTTCTTTGACATCCCTCCACTTCAGCGGATTTTGAAGGAATGGCATACTTTTCCCCTTCCATGTCCATTGCCACACCGTGTAGATGGGTATGGGTAGCCAGTTGGTAAACCAGCAGTCAAATGGCTTCTGTTCTTGTCATCCCATAATATGACATTGTGGTCGAGCAGGTGTTGATGAGACTGTTAAGACTCTCGCAGTAGCAGAATTTTGGCCGGCCTCGATGTCAAACTCCATTCTACGGTTGACTTTCGATGGGTTGTTTGGGTTATCGATCGTTCATTTCATTTCGGATAACCTAACTACTTGCTTGGTTGGTTCAGGAAGTCTCTGCGCGAAAAGAACCGTCTTGTGGGATCAGCAGTTTTTACCCAGAAGCGTCATTTTGGGCATTCAACCAATCATTTTGAGGGATATTCAGCTAGCCTGCTTCTGCGCAGCTTCTAACATCTTGATTGAATAGGAATAGAATATCAACGGAAGTACATGATGTTTTACTCGCTAAAAACTATAAGTCACTAGGCTCGGAAGTATTCCATATGGGGTGAGTGATCACAGTTGACCTGTCCGCGCACCTACTACGAAACTTACAGAACGAAGACAGTATGTCTAGCAAATAAAATACTTCTGTTCACTCTCCAAAAGGCAGACATGCAAACCTCTTGAGAATACTACTCTAGTACTGTTAGGCAGGAATCCACGCGGATCCCACTATACGGCACGTCTTTAGGCGCTATATATACAAAGCGCTGTACAACTGTTCCTGATTTCGTTTTGGACGTTAATAGACCTTGTGCACCTTTGGTGGTGGTTGTTTTAACGTGAACGCTGGCTTGGGAGGCTCAGACCGAGAACTAAGCTGAGGAAAATACCGTTACTACAAGTACGTGACCGCTATGGCGTCAGGTGTATGACTAGGCCTTGTTCCGCATAGCAAGTAGAGCAAAACCATGTCCCGCGCTGGGCAAGGGTGCACTCACGAAGCCTTCGCTTTCAACAGGTGATTCAGTAGTACCTATGCTTCTAGCAGCCAACACTGATCGTTTTTTGTTGATCCGAAGACTGTTTCGGTCTGTGTTGGCCCCCAGTTACCACAAAAGTTTCTGAAATCTGCTATGTGCCTGCACTGTTGAGCGCGTATGGGTCTGCGGCAAACTTCAGCATATGTACACCACATCCACTCGTGTCAGGTGAAGCTAACCTTCAGACTTTCATCTCGACTCCATCGTTTTTTTGTCAACGCCTTGTGCATCACTCACAGACCGAGTTCTCCGGACACATTGCTTTTCCCAAATGAGGTCGTTATGCAATACGAATCAACCGTACGTTATTATTTGCGCCTCGCACTTGTACTGCAAACTGCTACTTAAAACAGTGCAAATAAACCCATCCCTGTGACAATCGAGTCGATTAGTATTTCAACACATTGGCAATTGGATTGCATGATGGACGGGTTTAGCTATACTAGAACTAGTAGACTGACGAAGTTCACTTTCCGAACCACTGCGAATTAACACCTTTTTCAAGATAGACTCGTCTTCTGGGACTCAGTTCCTTGTATGTCATAATCCAAAGGCTCTCAGTTTAGGAGATCGCAACCATCACCGACCAGTCTCAGAACGGCTTGCAGGGTCCTTTGGTGTTCGGCCCCAATTTGACTCCAGCCGTAGCCAGATGCGATGTGTTCATCCCTTCGCATAAGGCGCACTCACGAATTCGCGTAGAAAAGTCTGTATTCAAGGACTGTACTTCTCCTGTCCTAGTGATGTGTCTCAATTGTGGGGAAACCAACCATTCATTATTACTTTTTCCGATGGACATAATCCTTATTATCATCACTCTACGCTTCATTTCGTTACTTATAGGTTAGACTAGGGCTAGACAACATACAGTCTCCACCTACAGGAAAGACTCATCACTGTGAACCATTCATTATAATGCAGTCGCTTAGGTAGCCTAATCGCACAGCGAACTTACCACCAAGCTATGGGGTTTCACTCTAGTTTTGACTTCAGTCACGAACTATGTGTTACGATACTGCCCATCCGTGTCGATAAAAAATCGTGAGCTCTCGCTCAGCAAGTTCAGATTCCCTTTGAAATGTTTACAGACCATTGTAAGCAGCTATCGATTTCCCGCCACCAGCTCCCTACATGTGTTTGTTCCTGTTCCATCCGCTTTTCATTGCTGCGCCTTGACGCCTATCGCCACCTGGTAGGCACGTAAACAAACCGACACAGTATCGGTTGCTGCCGGCAGCGCTTGACCGAACTGATGTCTGTCTGTTAGGGCATTACGCTTCCCACCCAGTCACAAGCGATTATTGATCGACTGCACTGTGAGAGTGTTTGCCGGTCTGTCCTGTTTCCCCTAATCAGGCAATGCGTCTGTGCGTGTCAGCCACGTTGCATCAAATGTGTGATTTCCGTGACTCATTTTCACATATGACCTTCCTGTTACCCGAAAATAGCCAAAATGGATTTGGGTAGTAGCCCTGGAGGAAATTGCACATTTTGGAGCAATCTCGCATAGCACTGTATGGTGGCACTCTTTTCGGAAGCAGTACTTCCATCTTAACAGGAGATCAACTGCTATTTCCTATCCTATATATATATATATATATATATATATATATTTGTATGTGTATATATCCTATCTGGCATTCTCAGATTCACTGGTCATCATGTTTGAACCACCAGGCATGTGCACGTAGTAGGTGAACCGCAGGGACCCCCCCAAATCAAATCTTTCTCATGATACATTTGAGGTTCTATTTCCCCCCTCAGACGTCCCCTCTCACTCTCTTCTTTCAGCCCTAAGATCTCTGTGAATTTCACTCGCATGTTTAAACGTTACCACTTTTGCATACCCTCTGATTCATACGCTAAACAAATGACTCCCGACGTCGTAAGACTAACCGTCAGAATTGACTGTTCAAAAGAGTTCAGCGTACGCGGGTGGTGTAGTGCGATATCGCTTGTATAGCTTATCGGATTATTGGAGTTTAAGCGACAATGCGTTAATGGATATGCAGCTGCGATCAACCATCATGGGAGTGAAAGTGGCTCAGTTTTTTTCGGTTCCAGTGCACTGTGCACAAAAATCGTCTCCGGACGGAAGGAGGGCTGTTCAAGTGTGGCTGGTGAAAACCGATAAGCAGCAAAACTTGCACCTACCCAGAGTTTGGTCATTGAGATTCTTAAGTCCCACATTCTGTTTCATTTTGGCTATTTTGGATCCAAAAGTCTACCGTTTTAGACTTACTAACGGAGAAGGTGTCTGTTTCAGGGCTCGGGATAGTGTGAGTGAATTAGGTGCGAAACTACTGACTAGGTCTGTGGTTCGAACCCTAACCCTGGCTTTTCGGTTACTCCCGTTCAGATCTGAGCTATCTATTGTTATCTCAATCCTTCAGGTTGGACTGAAGCCATGCACCGAAAGGATGCTGCCGCTGAACCATTGTTATTATTACCATCGTTATCGTTACTATTTTTATTATTATCCGTTCCATGGGCATTGGCGTTAGGCAAATCATCACACCTGTCTTAGCGTGTTTATTTTCATCTTACCTTTGGTATTTTATGTGCCTTTGTTTCACAGTCCACAGATGGCTCCATGCTGTCTGACGACCCTGTCCTAACTGGTTTCCAACAACAGACTTACCGTCCAGCCTCACAAATGCAATCACATATCCCTGCAAGCACTAGTGGAGTTGGTCAAGGCGCTAGCCTAACTCCATACGGCATCGTCACTTCACACGAAAGCACTCATTTCACGAACTCTGGTAACGCCGTCCCCGTTGGTCCTCCTGTGGGGTAAGTTAACGTTCACATTCACAGGGGTGCACATTTGGTTTTTGCACCTCTCGATGTCATGTTCGTATCCGTAGTCCTATAAACCGACCTCCTCTCGACGATACTACTTGTAGTTCGATGTGTAGTAGTTCGTGAAACGGGGTCAGATGAGGTGGCCAAATAACATTCCAAATGTTCGCTGCCATATCGTGTCCGATGGACAATCTGTCGTCACCAAATGCATGTGAATGTGGAAGAAATGTACATATATTTTTGAAATGATATACCCGTTCAACAAACCGGAACAAACGTCCAGCTCACCGAACTGATCTTGTGTGCGCCTTGTCAACTTTTTTGTCCCACGCTCTGTTGCATCTTGCCGTGCGGACTAGAAACGTTATTACTGAATTGGAGCAAAGTGCGTGCCCACAGCTTCCCTGAACCTGCAACGTAACGAATAATATCTTTTTGAAAAAACGTTCACGAAGTTAGTTAGCCTCTCACGTATAGTTTATCGTGGTCAGTCCACACAGTAGCTGATAGTCGGCACAGACACCTCGCTTTGATTAAGTGGAAAATACTCGGTTGAGCTCTAGTAATGACTTGCAGTTGAAGCCTGAAAACTTCAGAGTGTGAAGTCGGTTTTCGTGTAGTATAGTTGTCGGGTATATATATATATATAATGTGTATTAAAAGGATAGATTGTGATCAGAGGCTCAAAGTCCTAGGTGCTGAACGAGAGCGATCCCCATTCGCCCCTTCTCCCTCTCTAGGACTATTTTACCCTCAGTGGTTTCCATGTATGTCCCCCGTCCTCTCGCTTGTCACGGGCACCGATTTAACTCGAGAAACCGGTTACACTTGGAACCGCATGCATCTACGCTTCTTCAGTTTCCGTTGTGAGAGGTAATGGGAAGTTAGCTGCTAAAGTGTCGATTCGGTGCGCGTATTCACTGACTTCCAAGTTATCATGAGGCAAACTGTCAACCTTAGCAATCAAATGAGCGAGATTTCCCCTGTATTCAGTCTTTTTTGGCACATGTTCTAATTTCTCTCTACATTGAAAACTTTTTAGGTGCACTCGTTCCACCCCTTACAGCATTCGGTTCTATTTTTAGGCTCATTGTCCTTGATAGTATTGCACTCTTGGTGCCTCGGTAACCTATGTCTGTACGTCGTTCGCCCAGTTTGAAATACGACAGCGATTTCGAGAACATTTGATGGTGGACCTCATGTCCTGATTGAACCCGGCACGACTGTACTCCATTAGTTTGAGTGCTGTGTTCATTATACCCCTAAACTTTAGAAGCACGGAACTAATTTCTTTCCCCCAAATGACTAAATGCTCAGTTGACAGCTTGTTTGATAGCTCTGGACCGCATAATGTTGAAGACATGAACTCGGCATCAGTTGACGGCCAATCCTACGATCAGTCCAAATACTATATTGTCAAGGACTGAATGTGGTATGAACTTCTTGGAATAGTGGTTGGAGTCCGAACGCCAATACCAGAAATACTATACTGGAAATGCTGTTTGTCCAACCGATTTTTACGCAGTTCCGATGTTGGAACTTTCTCGATAGTTATCATCCAAAACCTATGAGACTTTGACTCTCAGATCATGCGTACTGCCTGCGTCACTGAGGTTACGGAGCGATTCACATACATCTAGTAACATAATGGGCTTCTTCAATACCAGTTAAGTGTTTCAGTAAGTGTGTAATCACTTCTAGAGAGTCTAAACAAAGGTGCGTTGCATGAATCATACACAAATCTGATTTGTTGTAACAGGACTGTACTCCGCATTGCTTCATTGTTCTGTCTGTCCATATAATTTTCACCTAGGTTGAAAACCAGTTTTTTTCAGTTTTATTCACGCAGCTCAGTTGAACCATGAAATGATTTCAACTGAGATTTGGTGCACTATTCCCTTTAAGTTTCACATTCTAAATCCGTTCGCGGAAATTCTGAACGTTTCGTTAAGAGAGGACCTTATATCATTCTCCAGAGTAGATGTTACCGATTTTAATTTTGCTTTTGTGCACGAAGTAATTGTACACTGTCGTCACTCGGCTTCTTTGTACCAATCCTCCATTTCATACTTCTGGGTTAACGGTCCTTAAGGAATAAGGCTTCAATCGGTGTACCACCAGCAATCAAGTTATTTGACGATGCTTGTTACTGGTATAATTACAACCCTCTTTCTTGTCATTTATCTCTGACCCGATACCAATTGTTCACATTTAATAACCGATGCTGATAACATTATAGTGCGTCCTCTTCGTTAATCTCCTGAAAAAGCCGAAATTCACCTGATGTCCAGATTGGGTTTTCCATTCGATTTCCACTCGCACCAGGCAACCGAAATAACTGTATTTGCACAGTGTATATATGCTGCTGTGATGCGCTTTATGGCTCTCAGGTGGCTTCCGAATACCCATGAACTATCGGCCCACTGATAGTCTCCGGATAGCCTCCCCTTCATCTGTTGGCAGGTACACCAACTGAATCGAAATTCCAAGGGTGACGTGGGAAACAAATTAGGGGTGGTAACCGTAAAGCCCCAGATGGTTGCGAGAATCCTTCCTCTGAAGAGCGCCCACTATCCTACATAACCCACAATTTAGTGTAGAATCCTTCCTCCGAATAGAAGCCATTCCCCTGTTTTCCGTAGCGCCCTCTTTTCGGTACGGGAGGAAGAAGACTCAATCTCAACCGTAGATACATGGGGACCAATTAGTGATTCCAGCGTTAGTGGATTACTTTCGAAAGCGCACAACATTTTAGACCAGAATTTCGTTGAACAACTTCTCGGTTACCTCTAGCAGCCGGTCATTCGAAAGGGGCCAACCAAAAACATGTGGGCAACAAAACGCGTGCTAATTGTTACCGACACGGTCCACACCGAACAGTATACACTCTTTTCACTGTTCAATGTACTCCAGTTCTTGTTTGGATATGTGCGTTGTCCTGTCTCAGGCTGAGGGAAACCCAAATATGGATTTCACTAGTCAGAATTGTGCATGACCTGTTGACTGTTTAAATGCTGACACCATTTGGTCGTTTCCCGGCCCATATGCTTTTGCTCGTTTCTTATGGGGTTGCCTAGACGACCAAAATGTTGAGCAGTACAATTTCTCTCCAAAATCTGCCCCGTGGTACCTTTCCTCTATTGCTCGCCGAATGTAGCTTAGCCTTGTACACACATTAATTTGGAAGCAAGTACGGTAAATTGCCCATCGCGAGTCACTCCGCATCCAGTATGGACTGACTTGTGAATTCCTTACAAATTTTAACAGTACCGGTCAACTGGACAAAGGATAGTATAAAAAGTCCGAAAACTCCTCACGAAGGGTTACTGTATTGCGAAGTGGCGCCTTCATTCATATCGACATGTGAACCTGTGGGTGCATAAATATAATCTGATAGCACACCGTTATAATGTATTTTGACGAGATGGGTAGACGGACTACTGGGTGAACACTAATCACGCTTTCAATGAATCGATCTGGTATCAGGCCGCCTATGTCGTGTCATCATATCAGGGCTTAGTTTCGCGACCGACCATCAACCGAACCGACAGGATTATATATATATATATATATTTA